TTGTTTGAGAAACGTTTATCGGGTGAAAGCGATGTAAAACGCGAGAGAATCACCCTGTTTCACCACCGGCGAAGCAAAGACGATATCCATCGAAGTGAAACAAATCTAGATTAACGGAAACAACAGTGCAAAATTTACTTAACCCAAAAGGGCGAAAATATTTCACCTAGTTGCATGCAACCACGCGAAACAAAACTCTAATTTCAGGTATTTTTCCCTTTAGATTTAAGCTTCAGATCTATTTGAACGAAATAATCTTGAAACAGAAGGGAAATACAGAACATCTTTAAACAACCAAGTGAAATATTTTGCCTTCCGGGTAAATTTGCACTGTTCGAAAGCGAGAAGGTTTTCGCGCAAATAGGCGAACGTCGCGGTATCTTCGTTATAAATAACGCGAGCATAATATTCGAACTTCCCAGTTAATTAAGCGCTCCATTAATATGATATTACGCAGTAAACAAAGGCAATTTCCGCGGAATCTGCGCGAAATGGTTCGAAATTTTATTGCTCCTCGTTCTCCGTAATCGCTTATAATCCAGGTATTTCTAACTATCGTTCGATGCGAACTTGTTAAGTTGTTAATTTGATGCATCGCGTCGACGTCGTCGGTAGCGAGCATTTTTCACGGCGGCTTTATCGTGTATTAAGCTCTTGTTACGAAACTTTCCTGCGCGGATAATATCTGTAATACTATAGAGAACGAGATGATGAAAGAAATAGAAATAGAGATAGATACACTGAGAAAAAAAAGTTGCTGTTTCAAAAAAATATTAATTGATTCAACTAAATGTAACAGTCGGGCTGTCAAGCAAATATTTGTTAATTGAATCAAATAATTGTTAATTCAAACAAATAACATGTTTTAAATTACAACATTTTGTTAATAAATATGTAAATATTTGAACTAAATAATCATTACGAACTAAACGCATTTAGTCGAGTTAACAATTTTTTCCTCAGTGTAGAGATAGAGATAGATATAGATAAATATATATATATATAGAGAGAGAGAGAGTGAGAACGCTCGCAATAACAATAGAAATCATCATCTATTCACGTCAATTTCGATGAATCGGATTAATACCCCGTTTGATTGACGGCTTCATTATCTTCTGCGGTAATTGCTGCTATACAGCTCGTCTTCAGCAAACTACGTTTACTTTTAACGAGTAAGATGACGCGTTTTGAATATCGTGAGCGAAAAGAGGAAAAGGGAAAATTCGCTTTCCATTAATATGTCTGCTGTCAAATTTTGTCAAAAGTAAGTTGAAGTTTCGAGACACGGATTTTCCATGTTTTAATGCTAATTAGAGTGTTTTGCCATATAATGTATCATATGTACATATATTATATTGCCCATGAAACTATTAATACTTTGCCGCAATTACTGTAATTGCCTTATCGAAATATTGCATGGTGGATCGATCGAGTGGACAAGCGTTCCAATTAAGCATTCCGATCGGTTAACGACGACTGCACATCCTAAATCTCTATCCCTGTATTCTTGTGTTCGGAATGCAGTTTATTACTTTCAACAAAGCATAAAAAGAGTCGCTAACTTGATACCCGATTGTAAACTTAATTAACCGGCAGATTGCTGAGTGTTGGTCGTGAAATTAATATCGAGCAGCGCTTGAGAAGAGCGAAATAAAAAAAATAAAATTTGTCCACGCCAGAAAATCGATTTCAACCGCGGTAATAAAGAGTTTAGTACGTGCACTTGTACTTTTAATTTTCGCCGTATTTCTTCTATGAGAATTCATAGTCACGCGAATTGCAAACTATATCTTGATATTCACACGTAAATCCAATTCGCGATTCTAATCCAAATGCACGATAATTCGAGGAGAATGCTGGGAATATCTAACGATACTCGTCACTCTTTTCGCTGCCGGAGGATATCTGTTTTTGACAGCTACACGATGGTGGACCACCCATAAGAAGTGGAATTTTGCCAGCCGATCCCGAGGACACTGCGGAAACGCCGAATTTCAGGGGCGAATCTATTTGAAAAAGGATCTTTTAAAAAATAATTTTAACGCTAAATAGGTTTTTTCATAAAAAAATAATTTATACACTATTAAATCTGTAGTGTCAAATTTAACTTAATGTAAGTCGTCACTGCTTCTACTAAATATATCATTATTTTATACTAAAACGATAATTCGATTTGACACTATATCGTGTCAATTTGACGCTAGCTATAAATGTCAAATTAATATTGTAGAGTGTGAAATATAACCATTGATTTAGTTTAAAATTTAATGATATAATTGAGTAGGAGCAATGGCGACTTACATTAAGTTGATAAATTTGACTATAGATTTAACAGTGTACGAGATAATTTTGTCCAAAAATATGTATTTATTGATAAAATTATGTTTTTAGGGCTTTATGTTTTATTTAATATCTCCTGTATAATATCCCAAAGATTCCCCGGAAATTTGGCTCGCAAAACGCGTTTACTATCCGCTCCTGGCAAAACTTCTATTTCATTCTGCAGTCAATGGCAGTCGCGCCGCGACGCTGCGTCGCGCTCACGTACCCCCGCATCCGCGGTTCCCTTTTTATCGCGGCACCGCATTAAGCTCGCCTAATGTCACTCGAAGAAGCGACGGGCGGTTGGAACGGAGAAAAGTGGGAAGTGTAAAAAACGAGCAGACCCGATAGATCGATCCGGCGGAAATTTCTCAGGGGAACAACGCCCGTGAGCGTGGTGCCGCAGGCCGTTCAAGCGCTATCCTACATCCATCACGCAGAATTTGCACATTGGTGCTGGACAACTAGATTTACTGGCGAAATATACCCATCGGTGGAGAGGGCGGGTCGTAATCACGGAAGGAATCCACGCAATTTATAAGGCGTATATAAATTGAAAATTATTTACAGAAAGAATTAATTCCGTTACAACGTATATATTTATATGAATATTTATATATTATCCTTTTTTTTCATACTAATGTAACTCCTTAACGCACGCGCTGTGAAAGCCCGAATTGTTATAATCGACCTAGCAAAAAATCGTCACAGATTAAATTTCTGAGGTAAAAGCGTACTTCCGTTCTCTCAATTAAAGCGCAAAAAGTGCCGCATCACAATAATCAACAATATCGGTAAAGCACAACGGACCCGATAGATGTTCATATATTTTACACGTGAATTGCAATGTAAATAATTAATCGTCACTATTTATCAACGCGGTAATGCATAGTGAACGCATAAATTCGTAACGTATTATTAATCTCTTACGCGATGAAAATTTGTGCTTTTACGAGCGATCGATGTGAGCAGCGCGTGTTTTATCAATCCCGCGAAATTAATTTAATTTGTGACACGTAACCGTTTTCCCACGAAATTAATATCACGCCCGAGGATCGATTTTTCCGCGGATGCGAATACGATAAGATCGGCCTTTTTCACGATTCCGTCAGAGGCGTTTCGGCTGTCCTATCAATCTCAACCGCCGTTTTTCAGTTGTGAGCTCACGCTCGCGGATTTTCTCGGGTCCGCGTTACTGCGCTTCTTGCATGTAGAAGGGGAAGATTGACTGAAATTGACACCTACACTCCCGCCCGTCAATGCGAATTGACAACGACCGAATTGGATAATCGGTGGAAACGTGCCACGATCTCGCCGGTGATGTGAACATCGTGGCACGACCTCATCTTTATCCTCACATCATTGTGTCACTTTCATCCTCGTTTCTCCTAATTTCTCAATATATCTTTTCTCAGAGCTCTTATCGGATCGCGTACTAATATAAATTTATAATGTCAAATTATATCCAATATGAATTACTTTTTATCGTTTCTATAGATTGTCACTGCTCCTACTGAATATATCATTAATTTAACTAACACAATGGAGTTAATCAATTTAATTTTTTAAAATGTATTAAATATTTGACTCAGTTTGTCATTTACTGTATACAGTACTTAATATGGACATTGTTTACGTTGAAATTCACAGAAATGGATTGATTTACATTTTGACACATGGATGTTAAAAATAACAAAATGTTATTTTTAGCTCAAGGGATTGAATCACTATTGCTCTTTTGATATCTAATGGTATACGTTATTCAATATCAACACGATGAGAGTTTTTTATTTCTTCGACAATACCCAGAATTAATTTTTTTTTTTCATCAAAGTTCATATTTTTTATGGAAAACTTTTTTCCATCACGAGTGCAACAGTAAAAATTTGCAAAAATTCGTGACATTATTTATAAAATGTTTTTATTCGTTAGAAGTTAAATATTACATCGGACGATTTTGCAAAAAAATTTACGTAGATTTGAGGTGTCGCAGTCACATCGGTCGGTAATATTCGTTAGAAATTCTTCGCAACCACACCACTATCTGGATTGGATGATGTATGATGTAATTAATGGTTATTTCGCGGCTAATTGCCCGGGCGATTATGACTTTTCCGCGTGTATGTCGTCGCAGCGCTGCACTGCCACGGCGAACATGAGAAGGAAGTTTTAAATAGCATGTCCTAAATAAATTGCAGAATAAGCTCATCGATATGACATATTTCAATTTTTAAATGCGTTAAAATAGATGTGTTAAATAAAAAATAAAATAGATTGAATTCAATTAAATAAACTAAATTCATCAATGATTACGTCTAACGTAATTATTCATGACGTCGTAAGAATCTATATATATATATATATCGATTAAATAGAAAACGCTAGCGATAACGTAAATTTCAACATATTTAAAAAAAGCTGTAAAATAATTTGATTTTGTCATTGATAAATAAAGAATATTACAACGTAATTTCTATACAAATATATATATATATATGCACCGGAATATTTAAAAAAAATGAAAAAATTTTAAGATTTAAAATATATTACTTTAAGAAAAATTCGATAAGATATAATAATCCGTCTAGACTTAATATATTTCGATAAGGTTTTTGCAAGTACGTTGATTTTCACCGTAAAAATGTAGTTCATACTGACGATGATTATTTTTATTACAGGTAGATCAGGATACGATTCGTCTGATGAGGATGATTTCGACACTATGAGCTTCGACTTCGCTATGCCTAATTTTTATGGTACGTAACATTTACTGTTATGGCGAGACAGGATGTGTGTAGTGTGTGTGTATATATATGTGTATATAATATAACTTTCATTTTTTTCAATATGTGTTTGTTCCTCTTAATTGCATTACACATCTCTCTTCTCTCTGTAATTAAAAATTAAAAAAAATATATATATTCGAAACATGAAGAAAAAGAAAAAAAAGAAAAAGAGAAATAATTTGTAATAAACTAAAAAGAGCACCATAATAATCGAAAAAAGAAAAGAAATTTCATATCGTCTATAATTGTTTCAATATCATATTAACTAATTCTTATCAATACGCAATCATCCGTTCGCATTTTCATCACATGTTTCATACTAGACAGTCGCGATAAAATCGATTTTATTCATTCGCTGTGAATGCTGTATTTAATGGAAACGAGTGTATGGTATTTTTGACGTTGAATACGCGCTGAAGATACGAACTTAATGGGCGGCTGTGTCAAACCAAATGTTAAATACAAGCGCAAATGTAACCCGTTATTTTCATTAACGCCTCCGCACTTCTGCGCTCTAACGCAGGGATTTGCAAACGCGGTACACGCGAGAGTGCGAATTTGTGTGCCTCTGACAGGTAGATCATAGAGGCGTGCGCAAATATCGTACGGACGGCCGGAAATGCAACGTACAGCCACGATTGCATCGCGGGCGTCAGTCTCATATCCCGCTTACATGCGGTTTGTCTGAGCGTAACTTCCGTCAGTGTGCGCCTACAGGGACATTTGGTATTGTTTATGGTATGCCAATTACCGTGTTCCGTCATTCGCTTCATACGAATCTTGCTTACAATTAGTATACGATCGACTAATCAATGGCCGTATCATTAACAAAATTAATTATTAGAGCAACATTTTATTATTTTATACATCACGTATACGAATATCTTTCACAATAATAGTTCATTGCATCGATTGAAAGTAGATTCTGCAACATTTAACCGAGTAACGTAAAAATAACATATTGAGGTTACGAACGAAGTTATTTAAATTATAAAATTAGCTTGCAAATTGAAATTATTTTCATAAAATATTATTTGAATGTATCAAAATTTATATAAACCTATAAAAAGAAAAATATTACTTATTTTGTAAGAAAAGAATAAGCTTGAATATTTAATTCAAAAAGACAGGTCGTTCAAATGAAAGTCTAAAGAGGAAAGAATTTCTTTTTACGAGCACAATACCTTATCTATAAAACATAAATACGAGTATGTATCTCCTTTTTTCTCAAGATAGATAGTAATAATTGGAATTTCAAATATCCGCGTTGTCGGTGCATTAAGTCAGTATAGTGTCGC